CCAGCAGTCACAGTGAGTGTAAGTGTGGAGGTGTCCTACCTGTCAGTTGGGGACACTCTGGCATTGTGGGGACCGGGTTGCCGTACGTCCCTATAATCTAAAGCCCAGCGGTGTTGGTGGGAGGACACGTTTTAGAGTCAGAGCAAGGTGAAGTGTAAAATCAGGGTATGGTTATGGATGATGACCACACTGATGTGATTCAGGTTCAGTTGAGGAGGGTCAAAGAGTTCCAGTTGTGCTTCCCTATGGATTGACCAAACTTCACTGGGGTTGGGAAAGGTCTAAAATTAGTGTAAATCTCAAGGGAATGAATGCAAGTCAATGCATTGTCCCCAAAGGTTGTGAAAAACCTGACTGTGTGAGTGTTTTATGTGTGTACTTGCACCCCGTCAGAGATGCTGTATTGGGGAATGTGGATAATGGCGTAGAGGAAATTATAGAGGCCCTAAGCAGAATATGGTTGAGCTCTGCATCTGTAGCTGTACAGTTTAACTATGCTCATAGTAGCGTACCTATAATTAACATCTTAATTATAAACAGCTAATTCCCAGAGGACCCTCTGTTAAACATAATTCCCTTAAATGCAGGACAGAATTATCCCTTCATGTTGCCAGATGTGAAATGAAAGAAATGTGTTAAAATGAAAGAATCCGCAGAGAAGATAAATTGCTCTTTCTTCTTGCAAAAATCTAATTTGAATACGGTTTGCATTGTGCATTTGCATGCTTCCTGGCAGCATGCAAATGAACGATGTTCATAAGATGAACTGTACCGTGCACTCATCATGTCTCCCGTAAGTGTGAGAAACTTTCTCTATTTGTGTTTGTCCGCTCTTGTTTTGACTTGTTGTGCAACATTTCGTGCACCAGAGTTTCTGCCTTGAGCTGATTAGATCTGCAGTCTTTCGGTTTTGCTTCACAGTTGTGATGTTTGACTCCAGTCAGCGGGAGTATCACAGAGCTCCGTCTGGAGTTCAACCCAAACAAGTTGGAGCCGCTGAAAATACAAACGGAGCCGAACTTTTACAAACCATCATTTATAGGCTATGGAAAGGTCTAGGATTAGTGTAAATCTGGAGGGAATGAATGCATGTTCTGTGTGGTTTTGACAGCTAATATCCCACTTAAATTATGCCTTAAACTATACACATGATGTTTGTTAATTTAAAAGATCTGACAAATGCCAGGAAAGTCATTTTGACATACAACTGTTAGCGTAGGACTAAAATTATAGAATTAGAAACAATTACGCCCCAAAAGTTGCTACAAGTGAACTCTAAACTCGACCTAATGCACCAACAACAACAACGGCTCTTATTAAGAAAAACTTGGATGAGCACATCAAGTAAGATGATGATACATTTTTTAAGTGGAGCATAGCTAGCTAGCTAGCTAGCAAAACAAGCTAAAGGGTCGTGTTGGTAACGAACAATGTGCCAGTCAATGGATGCAGTTAATCATTAAATCATACAACGAAAAGTGCAAAGTGGAACATAGCTAAGTGAACTAGCTAGCTTACAGGCGACGGTAACGGCCATGTTGGCTTTCAGTGTACTTGTGGTCTTTCAGCCGTCTACATGGAATAAATTAAGGATACAACGGCTTCTTTCTGTACTTTAGCAGATGTTTGACTGCTGACAGCAGTGATATATTTTAGTCCATAGGTGTGCTGTATATCGCAAACCCCACATGTCCTCCGGCCTCCTGCGTGACCCAGTCCGAACTGAACCAACTCACACAGTTGAAGACGTGTTTTTGTTCCAATGTCAACCAAACACTTTTACTGGTTGGGCACCAGACGAGGATAAAAAGAAGTGTGACCTCTCACGTTGGACGTTTACAACCACTGCGTCGCAGAGGGAAAACATATTCAGATTATCAAAACAACGAAACCCAGGATTGTGGGAAAGAGCAAGAGATCTATTGTTGAGTTGTAAACGCCGATACCTGCTGACTCATTGTTACTGGAAAGCAGCCGGTGGCAGGAAATCCCAGGGTGCCTCAAGCAAAACTAAGACTAGTTTGATTTTACTGTGTTCAAGCTTAAAGGAGGAATTCACAAACTGGTGAGGTTGTTTGTAATGTTAGCATTGTTAGCTACGAGCCACCGGCCAGGGTGTCGCCATGTTGAGATCCTTTTAGAGGCAATCGAAATTCTCTCAATTTCGTATTGTGCACCCGTAATTAAGTATTGCAACTGAAGGCTTTTTATGAGAGGTGGATGTGCATCCACCGGTTTCTGGGCCGTCTGGACTGACATTATGAAGCCCTGAGTTTGGCTATTTCGCCATTTTAGCTCACGGTCGTCGCCATAGTTGTTTTTCTTGAAATGGAAAAAAGCGGAGGACGAGTGTCTGGTAGAAAACTTTTCCTACACGTGCCGATTTCTACTTGTTACGCGAACACAGTCTTTTTAAAAGAAACTTCTGTCTAACTAATTGGTTGGGTTTCGGAAAGGCTGGTGAAATACTCACGTTACGTTTAGGAAAAGATTGTGAACCACTTGGTCCAGGTTCATAACTGCTGGGAAAAGGTTTGTATTAAAATAACTATGGGGGATTGGTTCCTTAAGCACTATTACATGACAGATAATTGATAGTTGACTATTACAACAATCTGTTTTAACACGTGGAAAGAACAGCGGCCTCCGGGGTGAAGGTTTTAGTTTGACTCATACACCTCCGCTCTCTCGCTCGCTGTAGAGCCGGAATATTTCTGAAATCCAGATTTCAACATCACAGAAAATAGGTGGCAACAGGAAAATCTCCACGTTCAGTCGACTACGTCTTCAAAAAAACGTCCATCAGCGTCCGTGGAGGAAAATATCCATTTGATTCAGACATAATAAGACACAACCGCAATGTAGGTCTCACATGACTAGGGAAGCTGATACACGTGACCTCTGACCTCTACGGTGGTTTGTTGCCGTCTGTGTCTTGTACTGCCCCCAGCAGACCCCCATAAAAAAAAACCCCGAAGGGAGTGTTGGGTGAGTGTGTGAGAGAAAGAGGGACGGGACGGTGGGGGTGAGGAGGGGGAGGTGGGAGTTACAATTTTCTGGTAAATCACCTCACCAAGACCCCTCCTCACCTCCCCGTTGCAAACTCCGTAACACACACACACTGTTGACAGTAAGCAGGAGGTTGGAATGTTTAAGTATTTGCAGGAGTCCGTCTGTTTCACTCACACACACAGACACACTCACACTCACACACTCACACACACACTCACACACTTGCTATCTGCTGTAGAATGTTTGCTCGGTTGGGGTCCAGTTACGAGGGGGAGGGTGCTGGTCCTCAGCAGCCGGCTCGTCTCATGTGTGTTGGTTTCGTCCTGCTATCGAGCGGCCCGCAGTACAATGGAACCGAAGACAAAAGGAAAACATGAAGACCGAGCGGAACCGCGCAAGATAGACATCCTCTATTGTCACGTTTCACGGCAGGATGAGGACTCGAACGCAGAGATTGACACTGGAGACCAGATTTAAGTTGAAAAAGGTGTTTTTTTTACTGGTGAACAAAAAGAAACTCAAAACAACTCCAACCGGGAACGAGCAAAATCCCCAAAAAGAGGCAGTCACAGTCATTAACAAAATGCTAAATTATTTATTCAGGGAGGCGGGTGATCCGACAGCAGGGAAGAGTTCACTTTTAAATGTAACATTAAGTAATATAATTCACTCTAATATCTACCGATAGAAATGTTATAATATATAAAATGACATCGTAAGTTACGTGACATTGGTAATCGATGTTGTGACACGTGAGGCGACGAGGCGTTACACCTGTAGTTACGGGCCACAAGTTGTGATAATCATTATGGAGGGACAGGCTGGTTTGAGCATGTAGACAGTGTGAGACCAGGATCACACCACAGACCTTCTGGTCCACGGAGGACCCGCCGTCCCCACTGAGCCACAGACACCACGCAGAGAACGCTCATCGCGTGATGAATTAAGCCTGGTTTTCAGAGAGACGCAAGGGACACGCAAGAGTCCCTTGCGTGTCCCTTGCGTGTCCCTTGCGTGTCTCTTGCTTTACGAGAGAACGGATCCGATTGAAGAGCTTTTGTCTGAAGAATTATGGAAACATGAGCGCTTGTACGAGCCGTCATTGGCGGACTATGAGGACGCCGGATGGCCTCTGATTCATGGAGGGAGATCTCCACAAACGAGGGGAACAAAGTCGTGGAGGAAAATACGGGACAAATGTGTCCGTGATGAAGAGCAGCAGTGTGGATGCACGGGGCAATAAAGTCTATGATCAATAAATAAAGCAACCAGCGACTTCCACACACAAAGACGTGACTCTCCAGGTCGTCTTCAACAAAACATGTTACTCCACCTGTTGCCTTTAGGCCTCAGGACTAAAGTAGTCCTCCTACTAGTAGTAGTGCCTCCTACACCAGGGTCCCTTCAGAAAACCTCTCCTTCTACTGCAGAGTCCAAGTCTTCAGGCCGAGGCTGAAGCCGGATCCTGGTCTGCGCGTGGTGGACTGATCTCGCCCGGGGGCCCAGTTGGAGTCTGAGCTGGAGGAGGTTCTGGAGAACCTGCATGAGTTGGTCTAGTTTCACCAGAATCAGAGCCGGTGGCTAAAAGTTAAAGTGATTTTACGTTTACGACTACAACTCCTAAAGATGACGAGACACCAGAGAGAGAGAGAAGGTTAAATGGGTTTGGTTTGGAGACGTGACACTAATTAGATTATAATCCTGTGTTTATTTATGTATTTCTGTCAAAATAAAAGTGGGGAAAGAAGAAATGAGAGAAAAACTGACCATGGAGAGACATCAAGCTCTGATACAAAAGGAGCAGGAGGAGGAGGTGCAGTTTACCCAACTCATGGATTTACCCCCCCCCCTCCCGCCTAGCCCCGCCTCCTTCCTCCTCCCCTCACATTTACTACCCTTTCCGTGTCGTTTCCTCACTCCTACACCCCACCTCCCTTTTTCTTTATCTCCTCCCTCCTCCGGGCCAGAAGAGGGAGGATTGTCCGACCTGAGAGTTTAAACAAACCAGAGAGGCCGGCCGAGCGGAGCTCTCACACACACACACTCACACACACACACACACACACACTCACACACACACACTCATACAGCTGTTGGGAGCTTGAGGGAAACTGCTGAGCTTTCACCCGGAGAGCGGAGCTGAGGAAGGTTTGTGAGAGGAGGAACCTCACCATTGTGGTTTGATGTGAGTTGTGGAGCAAAGCTGGAAAAAATGCACGCTGGTCCTTGAGTTGTCACTTCAATGGCATTCGGGTGGTGACCTACGTGGTCACTAAGAGCTTTCGATTTCATTCATTCAATTTTGTGTTTTCAGAAAAATTGAGACGCGGCTGATTGAAGAGGAGGCCACCAAGCTGGAGGATTGGGGATTGAACCAGCCAGACCTTTGTCCTCGGAGCGTCTCCCTCTCAGAGCTTAGAGGCCGCCTCGCGTCTCCCAGAGGACCACCACCGGCCGACCTTCTACCGATGGAAGCGCCGACCCTGGCTGAGATGGGAGACCCGTGTCACCTTCGCTCCCGCTCTCCGGAGGGGGAGACGGTGTGCGCGGCTCTGGCCCGTTACGAGACCACCCTCCGGGACGCCATCAGGGAGATCCACGTGGACGTCAGCGCTTTCAAGCTGGGCATGGAGCGCCGCCTGGAGGAGACGGCCGACCCCGGTGGCCCCCTCGGTCGAGCCGTGGCTCAGCTGCAGCAGGAGAACCAACAGCTCAGGGGTCAGCTGGAGGCGCTGAGCCTGCAGGTGGAGCTCCTGAGTGGGATGGCGTGCGACAGGAGCGCCTTGCTCAACAACAACAACAACCACCACAGTCAGAACCACAAGAATCACCTGAGTGACATTCAGGAGAACCACCAGGAGGTAAAAGAGGCGGTGTACGGGAAGGGTGAGGCTCTCCTCCACGTCCAGCCCTGCAGCCCGGGGGTCCAGGCCCAGAGCCACGGGGGCCCCGGCAGTCAGTCCGGTCCCGCGTCCCCGCCCGTCTTCTCCTCGGGGAGTCCTCCCGCGGGCTCCAGGGCTTCCTCCGTGGCGACGGGCCCCGCGGCGAGCGGCAGCCCCTCCGCCGCTCGCTTCTCCAGCCGAGCCACGTTCGCCGTGTCCAGCAAGACAAACGTGAGTAGCCCGAATGTTACTAGAGAGACGGAGACTCTCTCCATCCGTCTGATGTGCTACAGCTTCATGTTGGAAAAATGCATTCTGTGTAGTGTCCACCAGGGGGCGACTCCTCTGGTGTGATAGAAGTCTATGAGAAAATGTTTACTTCTCTCTTGATTTATACTCGCCTCAATACTGCCGAGTCTGGAGGACGCTCGTCCAAGTCGACTCCCCTGCTCTTGTTTGCACTGACCCATCACTGCGGGACATGGATGGAAAGGTAACAAACAACGGCAGAAGAGTTGTCTAACCCGGTAGTCACGATGTGACTCAGCGCGTCGGGAAACCGCCGGGCTGCTGTGGTAAAGCGGCTCAACGTGAGCGGCGGCCACGTGCAACAAGGACGCCATGAGGGTTCATGGAGAACGCCTACGCGAGTCTGACTCCCGGGAAGCCGAGGTCAGCGTGGTTTTGCCGAGATGAGTCAAACATGTGGAGTCGGCATTGCGCTGCGGTTGGTCATTTGTGGCGCGTGATACTCGCGGGCCGGTGAACCGGGGCGGTGGGAGGAGGCAGTTTGCTTCAGTCAACGATTACACGGCTCTGGTTTATAAAAGACTCCAGCCTGCGGCCTCCAAACTGAACACATAAATGGAAAGCTTTTGTTTTTAATACCCAGGTTGTGTCGCAATTGAGTTCATGTTGTGTCTGTGTGACGTTGTATTTAATCACCACATCGATGGTGACCAGATGGCCCGTGTCTATGTTTTAGTTCTCATAGTTTCTGATTCATCATCTATTTACTGTCCCACTGGGATGCTGCTGGAGGAACCTTGTGGACTTGTCGTCCCACAGAGTAGTTTGCGAATATATTTCCCTCTTTTAGCTTGAACTGCTTCTGATGAAACCAAAAAGAGAATTTCCGGACTCTCCGCTGTCATAAACGCACTGGGTTTTCAGAGCAGAAAGAAACTTTTGTCTCGTCTAAGAATAGAAGTCTATGTAAGCTGAATGCGATCTAGTTTTGTTTCGGCCTCCCATTCTCAGGTGATTGAATACACGTGAAAGAGTTTCCTTGTTCTATCTCAGACCCTTTGCAGAAATTGCAGAAATTGCAATCTTGATCTTGACCGTGCTGAAGCTATTCCCATCAATTATCTTCCTTTTTTGACACTGTAATAGTCTGTTTGACTACAAATTAACCCTAAATGAACATCATGCTGTTTTAAAGAAGACTTGAAACTAGAGATTGAGACCGTAAACCCAAGTGGTTTTCTCATAGACGTCTATGGGACCAGAGGAGTCGCCCCCCTGCTGGTCACTACATAGAATGCAGCTTTAACACGTGACGCTGTGACTTCAGTCTGCATGTAAACACTGTCCGAGCTACATGAAGCCTCACTGCTCAGTACGAGTACCCTGATACGTCTGAAACAATCTGATATGAGTCGGTATGTCGGCCTGGGGTCCAATCCATCAACCAACCAACCTCGGCCTCGCGTGTGTTGTGTTTATTACCTAAAGTAAACGGTAAAACCACCGACATGAACCCGTATGTCAAACTGTTTTGCTTTACAAGTACCTCCAAGCCACAGTGATTGAGTCGAATGCAGAGAGACGGGGTTGTTTACTTCCAGGGCTCTCCGTCCCGCTGCGAAAGGTTTACGAGTATTAGGTTTGTGCTTTTTGGAGCACAAGTTGTTCCTTTAAGAAGCTCTGAATAGCGTCTTCCGTTGAACTCGCAGCTGTTTTCGACGGGCTGCAACAGGCGGGAGGAGGCGCTCGCAATATGACATGGCACATTTTTGGAACCAGTTTGAAGGATTGAGATCCTTATTTTCCCCAAACTGTCCATCCTGCAACAGCAAGCATCTCACGCGGCGTGCATTCAGACGCAGATAAGACTAACAAAACAGTCTTCAAAACACACAAACACATTATGCAAATGCTCCGTTCGTCATGCATCTTTAATTACCCAACTATGCAGTGGATGCAGCAGTGGAATTTTATCTCCTGTGAAATCACGTGATCGGAGCTAAGCAACAAAGGGAACCTTTGTGTCCGTGTGGAGTAACGGTACTAGAAGCCTCTTCGTCCTGACAGAACCTGGTTTTGAAAACTGGTGGTGGCCTCGGAGGGAAGCGGGAGATTCCAATCAAACGCACAGGACCTTCCACCGCAGGACGAGTGCTCGAGGTGCCGTCGCAGGATGAAAGAGAAGCAGGATTCACAGAACCGTGGTTACGCGTGTAACTCTTTTCCCTCGCCCAAAGACGGCCGTCTCGCCGGTCGTCCTGAACCACAAGTTTTGAAGCGCAACATCATCCCAAAAAAGTCGTTTGACAAACAAACAAACAAAACAGACCGTTCTTGTCTCTCTATGCATCGCCAATATATTTTTTATATTATTATATTTTGCATTTATTTAGACTGAGTAAAGTTTAGATTAAAGAGGCCAGATCCCTGTCTCCCTGCATGCACACACATGCATGCATGCATGCACAAACACACACATGCATGCATGCATGCACAAACACACACATGCATGCACACACACACACACGCATGCACACACACACACACGCACGCACACACACACATGCACACACACACACACGCATGCACACACACACACACCTGCAGCACGTCTGTATGAATCATAAATACTTTCTTTTCTCATTTTTTGTGTGTCCTCTCTCTGGATTGAATGATTTGAAGGCGCGTGCGGTTTATTACCGTCACTCAGCCTTTATTGAGCAAAACATTTGCAAATAAAGGTTTTTAAATATTTTGGAAATGTCGTCATATTATTCCGCCTCTGATCCACTTTTCTGATTCATCATATCGGAATTCGCATAAAAATACTTGAATGGAAACCCAGCTGTGTGTTTAATAGTGTGTGTGTGTGTGTGCGTGTGTGTGTGTGTGTGTGTGTGTGTGTGGGCGTGCGTGTGTGTGTGTTTCCCATCTGGAAGGCTTTGAGGTCGGTGACGAGGCGGCAGTGTGGCTCTTTTCTATCCTCTAATGGTTCTGGGCAACAGGAATTAGTCAAGATTTGGATTAGGACAAAAACCCAAATCTCTTCCTCCTCTGTTTTTACCTCCTCGCACTCTTTGCCATCACACACACACACACACACACACACACACACACACATCAGCACTGCTGTTGCCAATTACAGTGAGCAAGGCAGCGGCCTCAATGGGCCATTGTGTGGGTTCTTGAGCTTTATTGGGAATACATTGAGCGAAGCATTACAGATAATACCCTCCTCACCCTCATCTCACCTCACAGAACTCGCTAACCTCCAACCACAGCAACAGGCCTTACACTTCAGGTACATTTGAAAGGTTATTTGGATAAAAAGAGTAAGATGATTATTCCCACTTGGGTTGTATGTGTGTTTTCGTGTGAAATGCTTTCGTTCGCTTCATTTCTTGATAAAAGAGAGAAAAACAGTGAAATATGACACAATAGATAAAATAACGAAAGAAAAAACAACACAACAGGGTTTTTTTAGGGCTTTTCAACATCTCACCGTCTTCTTTGGCGTGTCCTCGGTTGTCACGGAGACGGCTCAGTGGTCATACGATGACATGGCGGTCATGAGAAAGTCTGAGAAAAACCACCCTGATGATGTCACAGTGATGTCATCTCAGCTCGGACACGGAGACAACATATTTATACTTTACAGATATATATATATATATATATATATATACGTTGACCAGGCTAGAAACATTTCCATTCTTTATCTTCTATCATGTTATGTCTGTCACACAACATAAATACCACATATAAACCATAAACCAGCTGTCTGAGGTGTATCTGCTGGGCTCTATAGACACGCGTGACTTACGGCCCCACGCAGCACGCGCCGTCATCATGGTGGCGGCTGTGGACGCGTTTTTCCCGCGTGGGTTGGAACCGACCTTTCACCTGGTTTAACTTTTTTCTCCTGCTGTCGTCGGCGTGTCGCAAACAGACAATTCAGCCGCTGTCGGCCGGGATTAAAAGAACACCGCGGGAAGCAACATGATTCATGGGAAATGTGGTTTTATCCTTTGAGAAACATCTGTACCCGTGAAGCCACAGCTGTGAGACGGAAGCTCCTCGTTGTCGCCGCCTTATTGCTTTTCAAGCAATCGTACCAAACCACGAGAACAACATCACGTCGAAGCTGCTGCTCGATGGTCTGCAGCACGGGTCCATTTCTGCTCATTAAAATAAACCGTCTAAACGGAGAACAATTGCACGGATTAGATGCTGTCTGTGTTGATTTTCATGGAATATCTACGAATCAAACGGCAAACATTTCTGTATGGCTACGAACGCCGTCCAATAAACGGCCCGTCTGAGTTGGTAGAATTCCATCAAGTTGTACTTTGTCGCCCATGAGCTCCATCTCCCCCCAAACGTTACACAACCTCAACGCGATACGATCGCCGCGGCGTGGCGTCAGTCGCAGTCTGAGGGCAGTCTGGCCAACTCTCCCTCTCCAATCTGTTGTCCATCTCTTCATCAGATTGGACAATCTGGTCCTCAAGCCCAAACTGGACGGCGCTGTGATTACCGGCTGCTTCTGCACGCGTTCACACGGCCCTTCCTCTTAGGAGAAGGTGGGACCACACAAACCTGATGTGTGCCCCCTTGCACGCAGCGTGACGGTTTGCTCCGTTTGAACAGATGCAGGCTGCTCGTCTCGAGAAGGATCAATGTGGGGCTTTTATTTATTTTTTCATGGGGTGCCGTGAAAATAACTCCCATGGCGTCATCGTCTGCGTGTCATTCCGCTCGCGGTGATGGAGGAGCCCGGCGCGGTGGCAGGTTGTGAAACAGCGGCGAGATGCAATCTATCGGTTTCGTGCACGCGGAGGGGAGTCTGTTGGGGATCCTGTTTATCGTGAATCAGAGGCGTTCATGTGGCCGTGCGCCACCGATGACGTCGTTCAGAAGAACTCTTGGAGATAAAACATCTTCTCTGAGGGTCTGAAGGTCTTTAGAGGATCAGGACTAAA